AGTAGGACCCTGAAAGAATAAGCAATGGCCCATTCTGCCTATTTATTGAGAAATTTGATAAAGTTCTTAACTTCACAGAATTTATTATGACAGACAACTTAAGACATAGTTAAAGAAATATGAAGGCTTCCATTATTTTCTCTCTGGGTGTTTATTTCCTATAGAATTGTGCGGAGTTTCTATAAGTATAGTTGATAACTAGTTGGAAATAGCAATCTTAGACTTTATTTTTCTTTTGATTATTTGCACAGGTAAGTCGGGTAAGCCCAAGCTGTCTGAAAGCTCTAAAAAATATAAGCACCTTGTAGTGTAGAAAAACTGGGCAAAATTTTGTAATGAAGTTTATTTATAAAAAATTATAATTTTCTCTATTATTTTTTGGGAAAAATCAAAGACAAGGAAATAAAAAGTGTATTTTTCTTTCTAGTGACTAGACTATAAACACTTTACAGATAAAAATTGTGCTTTATTTATCTTTTGTATCAACTACATTTTGTAACATATAGTAAGATTTTAGGGAGAGGAGATGAAGGGAAAGATTTAGGACATACAAGGAGGATGAGGATATATTACATTTTATTTTTAGCTATGTGCATAATCTTTATCCTCAAAGTGATGCTTGCATAAATCTTTCTGTGGGCTATTAGTTAATTGGAAAACCAATCACCGTGACCAAATTCTAGCTCAACAGAAATTTTGACCACCTTAAAGTAGATGCATAAACAACAATTAATTGACATACTAATGCAGCCCATTTTCTTTTCAGTTTCATGTGTTTTTGGTAAAGGGGAAAGACACATTTCTGTTTTTATTTGTTAAACCTTTTGTAGTTGCCTACATCGTGAGGTTTAAATTTACAGCTATGAAGCCAGGTATGAAAAAACGGAAACTTACTTTCTTAAATTAATCTTAACTCTCTGAGCTCATATATACTGGGTAGCTAATTGTAATCTTGCCAATTTATGAAATTCAATATATTTCTGATTATAAATCAGTTTCTTTAAAAAGCAGCTAATTTCTTTTTCTTTCTTATTTTCCTCTTCCTCCTTGGAATCTTTGTCTCATTGGTTCAGATAATCAAGGGAAGATATTGTTGATGGAGTATTCTTCCTTTCTTTAAGAACTATAGCATGAACCCGCCTCCCCTTCAGGCTTGGACATTGACATATTTAAAGACCTTCTGCAGGAATTAAAAAGAAAAGCTTATACCTTATAATAAAGTCTAGCTTTTACCCATAACATGTGTTGTTACTTTTAGTTCATTCCCCAGGCTTATAGATTTCTAAAATTCTATTCTGGAGGTCAAAAGCCAAAAAACCTAACTTTTTGTTCTCATTGGATTTTGTTTTCCTCTGTCAAATTTCCTTAGGAATTTGCCATTCAAATTTTGGCCTTAATGACAGAAAACTGTAGAATTAAGAAATGCATATATATACACGCATTACTAAATCTTATTGCGCAAAATTTGCTGCAGTGATTAAAGGTGGAGTTAGCCAGAGGAGTTTTCAACAAATGAAATGTCTTTTAGTCAAAATAAGTTTCTTTCTTTTTTTTTTTTT